TCGATTTATAAGTATAATATAAGAACCCATGTTATAATTAAATATGGAATTTAAGTAATTGTAAATATATTTTTTTTCCCAATTAGGATCCGAAGATTATATTATATTTGATATTAATTTATTAAGTATTCGATTTTGGACATGTTAAATTAAAAGGTTACGGTGAAAATTTCTCGGTAGTCAATAATGTTAATACAATATTTGCCACACGCTTCAACAGAGATATTTATCGTTTACAACATTACCGATGGTTAAACAATTTAAAGCGAAGTAACGTGCACGGTTTATATATGTATAATGTATATAATATATCTTATATATTATTGTTGTAAGTAAATTTATGGGTTTTTCTGTTTTTTTTTTTATATTATTCAAGTATAACTACTTTGTACGTGTATACTATTATTTGTTTATAATATGTACGCTACACTTTTAACAAAAAGAAAATTATATATTTATAAATATGTATTTCATTTATTCATTAACAATAAAACAAACTTAATCCATTAAGTACTAAATCATTTTATACGGTGTTTGCTGAAATTTTTTTATGATATTCTCGCATAGAAATATAATTATTCTGTTCCTATTTTTATACCTATATTATTATTGCCTTTTATTAAACCATTGAATAAATAATTATGTAGAAACATGAAATGTATTCACGAAAAATTCGGTTTATTTTCCATTGACCTACCTGTAGGTACTAAACTGTAGGTCACTTAACTCGGAAACGTTAAAAAATATCGAGTATTTATTGAAGTATTTGTCGTATTTTTGTAGACGATCAACTACATCAATCTTGATTATTAACTTGTTATGTTTCAACACTGAAAAATACACGTCAACGTACCTAATTATTGTTTTATACTGCAAAATATTATGATAACAAAAAGTGATTGAAGTATTTACCACTTGTAAAATTATCTTGAAAAACATAAATATTCTCGTATAGATCAATAAAAAATTAATTCTAGTGAGCTGTCTACTCCTATAACTTTTGTACAGCTCAGTGGATGTAAGTCAGTCATTAATTGCAATCAAAATCATTGCACAAGCTCCTAATAATAAACAGTTGTATTATTACTTTATTTCAACATAATCAATTTCAAAATATATTTCCAAACTATATTATTTGGTTTCTTAATACTAAATGGTAAGTGAGTAATTTTGTGTAACTATATATATATATATATAAATATTTTGATTTTGAAATTTTTCTCTAAATTAAGATTCTCAAAAAGAAATCTATTGGTCTTACAATGATGTGTTTTTTTTTTGTGCTTAAAAACAACTTTTCCACCAAAATCTTGCTCCAATCGAAAACTGTATAGAAACTTTTCTGTAGCATTTTCATTTTATTTAATTAGCACATTGAAAAAGGAATATTTTTAGTATTTTTCTAGTAGTTTTCGTAATAAATAAGAAAAACTAATAATTTNAATTTCAATGTACCTAGGGAAAAATACGAGTAATAATACTCATTTCAGAATCGTTCTTCGTCACCAATAGTCAATCGTTAAAAATGTAAACTTAGTTACTTTATATAATATCATTAATTCCCACTTCCTCCTTAAAATAATAGTACACCCGTCAATATTATCAACTTGTAGAAAAAATATTTTACCTCTTATTTATTAAATTTAACCATGTATAACTTAACACGTTTGATCAATGAAATACATCAATTGGTCTTATGTACTAACACTAACAATTTGTCTACAATTTTATATTTGATAACAAATAGTTTTTTAAAAATGTTAATTTTAACCGAAAAAACCATTATATCTCCAAATAAAACTTGCACCTATGTAATCTTTTTAAAATAAAGTTAAAAAAGTTACTTTCTATAATTTTACAATGCATATAAAACTGACAAAATGCCTTACGGATTGTTTCAGAATCAAGTTTTGCGAATCCTCTACAGGGCAAACAAAGATATTCACCACCTTTAGGTATACTAAGCACATTTGATAGCCCTGCTGATGACGACTATGATACCTACCACAACTCACTTGACCAATACACTTTGGCAGAAACTGAAACAGATGGACCAATTTCGGAAGGAACTGAAACAGATGGAAAAACTTTGAAAGTGATAACAGAAAGTCTATTAAAAATATTTCCAGTTGTCGGCCCGACGTTACCACCATTCCCGCCTTTCATCGGTCTTGAAGGAAAAATTGATTCAGGAATAATGCCAGTGGTCGCCAGCCTTAATAATAAGGAACCCAGAGACGCGTTAGAGACCGCGGAACCGTCGTCACGGAAAATTAAAGAAATCGCCGAAAAACAATTATGAGTGATAATGCCATGACCCCTGATATGTCGGCAAAGACTTTTGAAACGCTAGACGATAGATTCATGGAGCCTTTGACCTAACGTAGGGCGTAATTCTTTTGTCACGATCCATTATTCATTTTTTTTATTTATGCATTGTAAATTAATGGGACCTTTGTATAAATTATAAAACACATAATATATAATTAGGTACCTACTTTTAAAAGTAAACAAAATTATGTTAGATTGTATTTAGTATTATTCGACTATGGTGATCAATTTATTCACCTAACTCCTCTCATAGTTGAAATTATGAAAGTAGGATATAGAAAATAATTTATTTTATATCCGTACGCAATGATTAATTATTGCAAATGAAAATGATTTTAAACGGACTTTGGTTGTACACGTTTTGAATGGCCGTTATATTTACGATTTTCGTCAAAATGTAATATCAAAATTATTATAAAAAAAATTCTATATTAAATTGTATTTTTTTCAGAAAATCAAAATAATAACTTAATTAAAAATGCAACAAAAAATTATTCTTGTCGTTTTTCGATTTCAACAGTATTTCTGATAGGTAAGCATAAAGATTAAAAAATTAAAATAAAAAAATCACAAATTCTTAAATTTATCAGTTTTTATTTTACGCCTTCGTTGGTTTTTCTAATTATTATAGTTACCACCTAATAAAAAAATGTATATACATTTATTTTTATAAATTGTCTTCCAACTAATATTTTCAAAGACTCTGATTATTGTTTTTTAATTAAAAAAAATTATATAAATACATATTTGAATCGTTTTATCTATGTATTATTTTTAAAATATCACAATAAATCCTGCATCACACCAATTATGACGATCGTGATAATGTTGATTACTTGTCGGTTATTGCGATTTCGTTTTTTTGTATATAAAAGTGAAAATACATTTATATACACCCGCGTGGTGATATTACAAGCCGATATAAGAATAACAAACTACTGTTGCATTTTTCACATTTTTTTTTTTTATAATATCACAACTAATAAAGGTATACGAATGAAATAACTATTAAACGCGATACGCTATAATTTCATCTAACGGCTAATAATGGTTTGATAGCGGCTACCGCTATAAATGTTCAACAAATGAGAAAGAATGTGTTCTTCATGGCTAGCTTATAAATTATTCATTTGTTATTACCAAGATTTCTGGTTGAATGTTTGTACACAATATAAAAAAAGAAAAAATAAGAAAAATCTTAGTAAAACCAATACATTCTTCGCTACACTCAGAATTTAAAATAGTTATAAATACCTGACTAATAAAAATCGTTTGGTTTAATAAACCTGTATAAAAGGCTATTCTATAGAATTATTTTACTCATAGAAGATAGAACTCAACTAATAAATTAATTTTTTTAAGAAAAACAATAGGTATTTTAAATAATTTACAACATATTATATAACACTTATGAATTATACACTTTTAAAATTTTAACCATTACCTACAGTTATATTTAACTTAGGTCTGTAGAAAAGGGGTAAAAAAAGTATTAGAAATCTTAGATAACCATATAAATTTCGGCCAAACGATATAATAAGCTTGTCCAAACAATATATTTATCCTAACGTATTAGGTGTCCGTATAGAGCAGGTGTTAAGGTTGGGCAAGCGAAGCTTACGTCCAGAGCCTCAGGTTTGTGGACCCATAAAAAAAGGATAGCATTATTATAATAGGTATAAAACTGAAAAAATACGAGTAATATTTTTAGAAATTTAACGATGCGTTTGATAAAAACACGTAAACGCGCATTATCTTATCAGAGAGTATTTCTAGCCAAAGCCAAGTGTAGGGTATTATAACAAGTATTAAAGGGAGTGTTATACACTATACTGGAAAAAAAAACTTTCGCAAAAATTAATTTATCCAAGGGTACCTTGCAAATCGTAACTGCGGACCTGTGTCCTTATGCATTTCGCCTAATTAAAAAAGTGCGCGGCACCCTTTAATAAACTATAAGACACTTGCTTAATATCAAGTCTTTCATCTGGCTACTGAAAATTACTGTATTTATCAATAACAATACGAAATTCCCTGTATTTTGATTTATTTATTGCATATATTATTTAGGTTTATGTGGACTATTTATTATACAGCTTAAACCGAATTTCAACGCGATAAAATTAATTATTGTTAATCTACGTTAGTTTGTAAAAAAAACATATGGACGCGCGATACCAGCAATTATATTTCAATACCGAAACAAGCTATACTTATTGAAGATAGATAAATGATAAAAATATGTATTAATATGTAATAATGTTAGTTAATAAACGCGTATTACG